AACATGATAAATATTATAAAGATGATACTTTACATTTTTAATTATATAAAAATCTAATTGCCCACTTGAAAGAGAAAATGCGAACTTGTCAACTTGAGGATGAGATATGTTTGTCGATAATGAATTGTGTTGGTGTGGGGACCAATCACGAAAGAAAATCATAAAGATCATTTGTGTAATTTATAATAACTAGTTAATGGAGTATATGTTAAAAATTAACGAAAGCGATTTAATAGACAGATAAGTTGTAAATTTAATGATCTATTACGTACAAAAATAAATAAATAAATAAATAACTTGAGTTACCAAATCGGATAAATAACGATAATTGATTGGGTAATATTGACATTTCCCTTTTTATTTATTGTGGTAGATTTTGCATCAAAAACCTTCTAAATATATTCAATAGAACTCTATTGTTTTTTTTTTTTTTTTTTTAAATTTAAGAATTATTATCTTTAAGTTAACAAACCATGATAAATATTATAAAGATGTTACTTTATATTTTTAATTATATAAGGGGTGTTTGGAAGTGTTTTTTATACACTAAAAATGCTTATAAGGAGGTGTTTGGAAGTGTTTTTTATACTCTAAAAATGTTTTTAGGTAGAAATATTTATTTGTTTATAGTGGTGGTAAAATGTATTTTTTAAAAAGTGTTTAGATAAGCTTTTTAGTGAAGATGTCAATAAATCAATAAGTTAAATAGTGTTTGGTTTAAAAAATAATTTTTATTGTTATTTTGATTGAAAAATTATAAACAATTTCAAAAAACCACGTTTTACATATTGATTAAAAAATGTTTTTTAAGCTTATGAAAAAACTGATTAAAAAATGTTTTTTAAGCTTATGAAAAAACTATCTGGAAAGTACTTTTGATTTTACCAAATATTTTTTTTAACTTATTATCTTTTCAAAAAAACCTATAAACAATTTTCAAACGGAATTGAGACACCCCTAAAAATCTAATTTCCTACTTGAAAGAGAAAATGCGAACTTGTGGGGATGAGATATGTTTGTGGATACAATTTTGTGGGGACTTTTAATTTGTCTTTTACCAACGTTATGCTTTTCTTAAAGCAGATAATGGACATTTCATTTGTTAATATTATAGTTTCTCTCGATTTGTGATAGGTTACTTCAAATATAAAATACGAACATATATTTTATGTCAGCATTTGGTATAGAAAAGCAATACTAAATTATTTACGAAAGGTATTAATTAAAAATTATCAAAATACAATAATTATCTTAAACATTTGCAAATATAAAATTTAACATATGCTTTCCTTTTGCAGTATGTCCACATTTTACTATTTTAGTTTATAAATGATCTAATATGTTCGTGTAAAATAAAAATATTTATTATTTGACTCACGAAGTTCAAATTGTTGTATTAAACGGGCAAAACAAATTTTCTTTTTACGTAAGTAGATATGTACGAAATAAATAATAATGAGTCTTTTTTTTTTTTTTTGGAACGGCCGAAATAATAATGAGTTCAATGAGAAACATTGAAAAATATATTACTATTTTATATATTATCCATTTATTTCAATAAAAAGTTTGATATAAATTGAAGGGAATATGTCCCAAAAACCATTATGAAACTATGTTTTTTTGTAATACCAAAAATGAATCTATTTTTTTATTTAAAAAGTTATTATTTTGTTTATAATTTCAGAAAAACTTTTTACGTTTCATAAAGTTAGCGATTTGGACTATTTTAACATGAAATATCAAGAAATAACTGTATGCTTGATTTTTTTTTTCGTGAACTAGTTTCGGACTGATTTAGTTTGATTATCAAGTAAATATAATTATTTATAGTCGTTCAAGAAGAAATATAATTTACTTGTAATAAACATGCTAAAAAACTCGTTCTACTCACCAAAAAGTTATAGAACTCTCATCAACAAACAGACCCTTCAAATTAATAAACGAATCTAAATTACAGAATTTTAAAATTACAATGGCTAAACTATAAGATTTTCAAAATGTCAATAACTTTTGAAAAAAAAAAAGCTTTCTGAATAAAAAATTAAAAACTAAATTATAACAATTTTTATGAAATTGGAAAAAAAAAAACATATGTTTTTTTTGAAAGAGAATTTCCCTAACGAGGGTTTCCGGGTCAACTTTTACGCACCGACTAATCCCCGCTGCAAATATGAAACTTTGTCTTATGTCCTGGAGTCATTGCAAGTGGCGAACCTTCATGGCCACAAGGGTTGAGTGGTGCTGGGATTTGAACATGGATTAATACGTTATCCAACATATCTTCTACATATCTTATCAAGTCACCACAACTCAAGTGGTTAAAAAAACCATATATTTATTTGTATACAATATTTTTTTGTAATTGTAGTATAATTATGCTTTAAAATGTTGTATTGTATAACTTTATAAACATTAAATGTTATTTATTAAAAAGTTATTGTATATAAATAATTGAGTTTCCTAATATAATGTCGTTATATTTAGAGATAATCCATACACTCCCATTTAGGGTTGTAAAGAACCGAACGAGCACAAACAGGTGATTGTTCATATTCGTTCGTTTAAATTAATCGAACAAATAAAGAACACGAACAAACAAACGAACGAGTTTTCTTTTTCAAGTTCATTCGT